TGTCGCCGGGTGCAATGAATAGAAATGTTGGTGTTTCGCATCATTCCAAAAACTCACACCTCTCACTTGTCATACCCCCAGAATGTGACATGCAACCTTTCCATACCGGGAGAAGTGAACACCCTGTCATATTCTGTACCAATCACAGCCAATACTTGAAACAACATGTAACTGTTTCAGATTACGTTCTCATGTCATCCTCAATTTGTATATGGTGGATATGAAAAACTTAAGAGATGTTTCCTTACTGGACTTTTTAAAAAGCTTTTTAACGAGAAATAACAATTGTTACACAAGGATAGAGCCCTTTAGACCCTTGCTGTCTACCATAGGTTACGTGAAACTAACATTGCCACATGTGACATCAACACAGCTGTCTGACACACGTCATGTCAAACTAACATTGCCACATGTGACATCAACGCAGCTGTCTGACACACGTCATGTGAAACTAACATTGCCAAATGTGACACCAACACAGCTGTCTGACACATGTTATGTGAAACTACAATTGCCACATGTGACATCAACACAGCTGTCTGACCCACGTCATGTGAAACTAACATTGCCACATGTGACATCAACACAGCTGTCTGACACACGTCATGTGAAACTAACATTGCCACATATGACATCAACACAGCTGTCTGACACACGTCATGTGAAACTAACATTGCCACATGTGACATCAACACAGCTGTCTGACACACGTCATGTCAAACTAACATTGCCACATGTGGCACAAACACAGCTGTCTGACACACGTTATGTGAAACTAACATTGCCACATATGACATCAACACAGCTGTCTGACACACGTCATGTGAAACTAACATTGCCACATATGACATCAACACAGCTGTCTGACACACGTCATGTGAAACTAACATTGCCACATGTGACACAAACACAGCTGTCTGACACACGTTATGTGAAACTAACATTGCCACATGTGACATCAACGCAGCTGTCTGACACACGTCATGTGAAACTAACATTGCCACATGTGACATCAACACAGCTGTCTGACACACGTCATGTGAAACTAACATTGCCACATGTGATATCAACACAGCTGTCTGACACACGTCATGTGAAACTAACATTGCCACATATGACATCAACACAGCTGTCTGACACACGTCATGTGAAACTAACATTGCAACATGTGACATCAACACAGCTGTCTGACCAACGTCATGTGAAACTAACATTGCCACATGTGACATCAACACAGCTGTATGACACACGTCATGTCAAACTAACATTGCCACATGTGGCACAAACACAGCTGTCTGACACACGTTATGTGAAACTAACATTGCCACATGTGACATCAACGCAGCTGTCTGACACACATGTCTGTCTGACAAGTGAAACATATACTCAACAACAAAAGTTCCTGTGACACCAATATTTTAGTGTATTTTAAAGTGTAAGTAAAGTTTGGTTTTCAATATTGTAGTACATGTATGGAATCAAGTCACAAAAACGCAACTGCTACAGAAAAGCATGCATTCCATGCAAAAGTTGACTTTTATGCAAGCCCCTTGCATTTCACTACCCAAGGATGGGTATATAAACATGTGCGTTAACGGGATTCCATATGCATCGTTTAGCATCGTGCTGACAACAACCACTCAGAAAAACAACAAAATTACGCAATTATTCAACATTGCGAAATGCCACGCCTGTCCGAAAATGAGCGTCTGCGATCCATTGGTATGCCTTGGATCGAGTCAACGTGATGTTGCAAGACAATTTAACGTCCACGGAAACACCATTTAGTGTTCATGGCAACGTTGGCAACAGACGAATGCAGTCAGAGACCATCCTCGGAGTGGCAGGCCACGCGTAACCAATAATCGACAAGACAACTGGATTCGAACAACACACCTACGAAATCGATTCCAGCCAGCAACAGTGACTGCAAGAAGCACCCCTGGCCTTCGACGAATATCTTCACAAACCGTACGTCGTCGTCTCAGATGTACAGGGATTGTCGCCAGAAGACCCGCCAGACGTCCCTTTTTGACAGGAAACCACCGTCAAGCACCTATACAGTGGTGCAGACATGCAGTGGGGACAAGTTCTATTCACTGACGAGTCTCGTTTTCACCTCAGCCTCAGCGATGGACGGATTCGAGTGTTCCGACGGCGAGGTGAACGTTACGTCAATCATTGTGTCATGGAAGAAGATCGGTTCGGGGGCGGCAGCGTTATGGTATGGGATGGGATTACAGCAAGACAGAGGACCCGTTTGATAGTGGTAGAGGGAAATCTCAATGGACAGCGCTACCGCGACGAGATAATCGGCCCTGTTGTTCTACCGTTTTTGCGTCGTCATGGCCCAGGCATTACCTTTCAACATGACAATGCCCGGCATCATATTGCTCGACTTGTTCAGGATCTCTTCAACAAAACAACGTGAATGTCATCCCCTGACCGGCTCGCTCCCCTGATCTCTCACTAATCGAGCATATGTGGGATGAGATGGATCGGCGCCTTCGACGCCAACCACATGTTCCACAGACACTCCAGGAACTTAGAACCAGCAAATATGGACAGACATGCCACAGAACTTTGTGCGACGCCTGGTCCATTCCATGAGACGAATATGTGTTGCTTGCATCGCAACCAGAGGTGGACACACACGCTATTGATTTGTAAATTGACATTTTGGTTATGAAATCAAGCATTTGTAAATTGACATTTTTTTTATTAAATCAAGCATTTTCTGAAGTCAGTATGGCAAATTAAACCATTTGAACACTCACAGGCGTCGTTTATCTGTTTCAAAACTGAAATTGTTTCAGATTTGGTAAAAAACATAAACATTAAATCTTATTCAATGTCACAGGAACTTTAGTTGTTCAGTATATATTGGTACCAAGAGACACCAGTGTCGCTTATATTCACCATTTGTCGCAACGACTGCTTGATACTACACCAGATTTACCAAGTCATGCACACATTGGTTGTATACTCCCCAAGGAGCTGAGAGTGACATTTTAAGGTCTACTGATCCATTGACCGTGCTTATAATGTTGAAGTGTTATGATCATACCATACCGACGGGAGTGGAATTTGGCTCTTCAGAAATGTACTCATCATGATCTTCTTCATCACCAGTACAATCTGTACGACACATTTACCACTGTTGGTTGGTTGTTTAACGCCGCACTCAGCAATATCCCAGCTATATGACGGCGGTCTGTAAATAATCGAGTCTTGACCAGACAATCCAGTGATTGATATCATGAGCACTGATCCACGCAATTGGGATACGATGACATGCATCAACCAAGTCAGCGAGCCTGACCATCCGATCCCGTTAGTCGCCTCTTACGACAAGCATAGTCACCTTTTACGGCAAGCATGGGTTGCTGAAGACCTATTCTACCCCGGACCTTCACGGGTCTATTTTCCACGGCACACCCATACTCTATAGAGACCCGACCCGTGAAGATACGGGTTAGAGTTGGCCTTCAGTAACCCAGGCTTGTCGTGAGATTCACACCCTCGTGGTCCGACAACACACAAGCATCCTTGTTTCATGTGGCAACAAAATTTCACCAATGTCATGGCAATCAGATCTTTTACTCCAACCCACGAGGGTCAGGGTCAGCATAGGTGTTCAGCAACCCATGCTTGTCGTAAGAGGCGACAAACGGGATCGGATGGTCAGGCTCGCCGATTTGGTTTAATGCATAACAGTGTATCCCAATTGCGTGGATCGATGCTCATGATGTCAATCACTAGATTGTCTGGTCCAGACTCGATTTTTGCAGACTGCCGTCATATAGCTGGAATATTGCTGCGTGCGACGTTAAACAACAAACAAACAAAAACCATAGCTAAAAATGGCTACCTGTGGAAATTCACGCTTTCACTCTCTCGTGGAATATTATACTTGACCTTCTGGGTGCGGCAAAAACAAAACAAAACTATAGAGACCAACTTTCCGGTGTATATGAGGTCGTAACGTTCGTTGCGTAGAAACTCTTATGTGAAGAAAGAACAACCCCGTGAGAAAAATAGTTTTGTCGTTCTGCATGAGTAGACTCCGTGTTTTAAATACTTATGAGCATTAATCTTTAGCTAATCTTTGGGGAAATCAGTCAGGAGGTTCCTCGTAAACTGTGCTAACCACCAGTATATGCCTATTGAAGTGTGTACGGGAATATTTTACGTCAAGAATTTGTCGCCATCTGCACGTCAAAAGCCTGCTATTCAGATATCGAGAGTAAAATGTGCCAATATCTCAATTTGTGTAGCTTTTTTTCCATTCATGTTTTGGCAACAGCGTGAGAAAAAGAGATTCCGCTAAGACGGGATCGTATGACATAGCCCCTCTCCCAGAGGGGAGCTAATCCCTTCAATACACTCTAAACGCACACGATAATTAAAGCTAAGCGGCTGAAAATCTTCTCTTTTCTACCGCCCCGTGGAACGGAGCGGGCCTCGTGCTCTCAAAACACCTCGAAATATAGGCAAACAAGCTTCGACGTCAGTTGATTGTGGTCGCAAGAAAGCGGCCTGCCATCAAAAGGGAAATGAATATTTAATGCCGAAATCCACCTGTCGTCTGTCCCGTTCCTTTCCGAATTGGCAGACACTAACACCATCATCACTTTGACAATAGCAGGATTAACGAAGCCCCTTTATGCAATACTATCGTTTGTCATAGCCGGCTCGTCAAAGTGACGAGCGTCGTTGTGAGGCGATCTTTCTCGCCGCCCGTACAAACACACTTGTTTCCTATACCGCTCAGTTTGTACAACGTCGGCACGCTTGAATATTAAGTCATCTAGCCAGACGCACTTTCGTTCGAATACCTGAACTTGTAACTTCACTCACTGCGACTTGACACCCCTCATAATGGTACGACCCATTTTACCCCGCGACCGATTCATCAACAGTCCGAGTGGACTCGCCCTCCCATCCCCAGCCAATGAAACAAGTGAATACATCCATCAATTAGTTGACCAATTGCGGTGGCATCAGCTATCGTATAAAGCACGTTTGTCGTATGGGAATTACTAGTGCATAGTACACTGACAAAACAGCGCTGCTGTGATAACATCAGTCGACATGTCTGCCACCACGATCATGTAGTTTGTGAACACAGCCGATAAACGAGGCCATATAGCGTGACACGAGACGTGCATTGCACGTGCAGGAACTGATCGCATGAGATAATATTATATTATGCAGGATGAATGGAGCTGGAAACTTATTCTGCTCTTTGGTCGTCTGTATTGTCATTTTTGGAATAACTAGCGGAAGAAAGTTATCAAAGTGTGGCAAATGTGATGAGAGTCGTTGTCCGATTCTGCACTATTGTGTCGGCGATGTCGTCAAGGACCACTGTGGGTGTTGCGCAGTATGCTCCAGCGACGTCTACCAGCCAACCAAGAAAAAAAGTAAGTTCTTTATCAGAGCCAGGGTTTGATTTTGAAAGGTGTACTTAATACCCAGCCCAAGTAAAGAGGTGACTTCGATCGGGGCCCAGTTAAAATGTAAGGCGTGTGACAAAGGAGGGGTTGGTCCCCTTGCACTCCTATCCCCACCCCACCCCACCCTCCTCTAGATCCGCCAGTGTTTGTGCTAGGTCGAACGTTACACGTGATCAAACTGACAATATCAAATCAATAATCGTTATTTGAAGTAAGATTATAGACTGTTTAAAATCAATATGGTTTGAAACTGTGTGGTTTCATCGCTCAGAGTAGATGGTTTGATTCCATTGTGTCTTTTATTCTGTAATTTATTCCCCTTAAACCAACACATTCCGATGTGCTAAGTTCACTGTTTTTATCCAGTGGGTTTTCGCGACTTGTTTTGTAACGATGTTGTGCACATGTCGGGTTGTAAACCGCAATATACTGTCGGCTTAGACTTGTATATTATATTTGGCATAATAACCCGGGAACTCGAGGCAAGGGTACGTTACCGCAGAGAGTATACCAAGAAGAAACACTTTAAATGTCTGATGTATTAGTCTCAATGAGTCTCTATGCAAAACTATGTACCATCCACTTTCTCTGATGAACAAAAGAAAATTATAACATGTTTTTATAGTATGTGTTTGTGTAGTAGATAGTGTCCCAGTCATTTAATCCATTTTTTAAATAACAAGTACCCCTAAAATGCCCTGAATATTATAGAAAATAAAATACACTTAATTTACATATGCCTCATTTCAAGGATAGGAAATAGGTTTTTCCACAAGAAAGAAGAACCTCTTGAAAGTGTGTTAATCCTTTGAAGCGGTTCCTGTGGTATGGTATTTGACGAGCGGGCTTGAGTCCAATACAACTCGACCCGGTGTAGCGTAGTATTGCCAGATTGTGGGACGGATAGCGCAATAGCAGCAATCATTTCCCGTCATCATCTGCTACAGTCTCTCTCTCTCTCTCTCTCTCTCTCTCTCTCTCTCTCTCTCTCTCTCCTCATCTCTCTCTCCATACGTGTTCCCTAAGTATGTCAGGCTGAGGCAATGCATAGAAGATTTATTCGTTTATTATAAAGTTTACCTAGCGACAGTTAGTCCACGGCACGGGAGATCAGTTAAGGTTTTTTTCTTCTTAGTGTCTATAAATATTACATATATTTTACAAGTCAAACTGACATGCATATCTGTACAACATTAAATCGAGCCGACCGGTCCCTGAAATGGTAGCAAGCTATTGCTGTTGATATGCACTTGTTCTGCATGCAATACAAAGCATGCATACTTGCTGTATGTATATTTCTCTCGGCCTATACATCAAGGCGTCGGCGTCGATTGTCTATTGAAACGGATCTGCCACCCCATATGGTGTCAGGAATACTGACGGGTTAGGTGCCTAGATTGAAGTTTAAGTGTTTGGCTGTGACCTCAGAGATGTCAGCCTGACATTAGCGTTAAATGGGCATTTAATGTCAACTAAATATGTTACTTTGTGTCTTAGACAGCATGAAATGTCTCGCTGTAGCCTTCGGTTATTCGTGTGCTATTGTTTCACGATAACCAATTTTGACATTCAGTGTTAACGAAGATATATCACATTAATTTAAACTGTTTGCTCTGCAAACATTAGCGAACTCACACTTGTCGGTTTTTAGGTGTCTGATTTTTTTGTGTGTTGCAACTCGATAGCACTCAAGTATTCAACTCCGCACTCGCCATTGAACTTTTAGCACGTAATAACTGACAACTTCAGACATGATTTTTTTATATTCTAACAATTACAACTTCATGCTATATTTATGTTCTTATTACTTGCGGTGTAGACCGTATATCATTATGTCAGCGCACCATGAGCAAATACAAACATATGTAAATTAAGCTGAGTTATAGACTGTTTGACTGTGAGAAGGTAACAGGTCCCGCAACATGAAGTCGATATGTCCCAGTAGGTTTCTTGTTTGTTTTTAATGTAGGCCGTCGCACACTCCATGGTTTGAGTCGCTGATGAGAATTCCTCGCATACACCACCCAAACCTTTCACAGATACACTATCTACGATTAAGCTGAAGATCGTGACCCCGCGAAACAATAGTTCAACACGAATCGGTTGTCGGCGAGGCTGACACTTGCTGCATTCAAGATCATGTATATTTATCCGATAGGGGTGTACAAAACGAAGCCCCGCATAGATGTTTGTTGAAAGAATTGTTGAAAGAGTTCAAGCGGTCGGTTTGTGTCCTATACTAATTTCAGCGTGGTTTAGAAACTCATTTGTGGGTTTATCAAAAGATTTGTATGGGAGACTTTTTTGGGTGGATATTTTGCTGGTTGAGATGTTTAAAGGGGTGTCAGTGAAGTGGTAGTGTCCCTTGATGGTCAGCTGGGTAAACGCTCCTGTCTCAAGCATCCATCTGGTACACAATGTAAATAGTGTTCTCTTGAAATCCTTAATGATGTGTAAAAATGTGAGAGTGGCTGGTGTCTCCATTATCCATACCGTGAACGACTATAGCTGTCCTTTAAAAAAACATCATTTTTTCGAGTTCACAATTTCCTGCCTTAAATTATACATCACGTAGCATGCACTTGTGGATATTATGATGATTGATAATAAACTGGCGGGGGGAAAAATGGTCATTCGATTGTGATGCATTTAACGCGAGTATCATAGTTGTGTGTTGGACCTTAAATTGCAGCAACGTTTTGAAAACGTTTGTATTTTTTTAGGTAAAATCCAATTTTCAAGTGTATATTTTCTTTCGCCCCACTGTTTAGGTGTGTTTCACAGAAAGTTCCTCAGCCACGAAGCTCCATGGTTCTGTTACTCTATCTAAATTACACCCCGCCTGTCGTTTTTACCTACTCTCATTTATCAGATAGTGCAACCAAATTTGCGCAGCTATCAAATGTGATAAGGACAAACTTGACTCGGAATACTAGAGGTGTGCCGTAACAGCGAGGCAGCCCAGGCCAAGGTGGCTTCCTTGCATGTACCCACACCTTTGGATCGACGAACAGTACATGTTAGGCTTACATTTAGACCAGATACAAAGTGATCTTATTTAAAAATATATATCTACAAAATCCAAAATAAAATCCAAATGGAGTCCAGAACCAAGACTCACAGTGACTGCATGTCCACGTAATATCATGTCTTCCCGTCAAATATTCTCCTTGGTGCGTCTCGAAACCATGCTATGTCTACATTTTTGCAAGACTATCATTTAACATGTGAACTTGGCGTTATTTTGTTTTAAGTTCTTAATCCACTTTCTGATGAAATGATTAATATATATTGAGCTTGTTAATTTATCATTAGTTCAAAGTTGACAATGGCGGCCCCTTCGTTTAAAGCGCCGCAAATCGCTGTGTAGAGAGTTGGGTCCAACTATAATCCTTTTCGAACCAAGATTCTCGCTTATTATGACCCTTGGTCATTGAGCACTATGTGGTGGTCGTGGATATAGCCAAGTGGTGAACGTCAAAGACATGCGTCACTTAAAGCTTCTTTCTGCATCCAGTTGACGCACTGCATGCGAAATAACTGAAATACCGTTCACAACTCATCTCTCTCACTCACTCATTAGCTTAAGCGGCGAGTGCGATATATTTTTACATTTTACACCTGAGACCTTCCTAATCGTTTTAGTTAATGCTACCTATATGTCACCATAGACACATTGGCCGAAGGCAGTATCATGGCCAACCTGCATTCGATTCAACACCATTTGGACTGTTGACGTTCATGTGACCAGTGATCTCATTGCAACGTTGTTTTCAGTGAAATTCAGCCCTCTCTTTCCTCTTTGGGATTCCGGGTTAGAATAACCTCATTCGTCACAACTCGCCCCTTTCCGTAACCTGCAAGAAGATATTCGGCTTGTCACGGAATAACACGAGTTAGTCACGAATGAGAATAACCTATGTTTGTCGTACGAGGGATCGGATGGTCACGTGTGCTGGGTCCATTGATTGACGTCGTACCACGACGGCGTCGGACGTTGCTCATAATACCAGTCACTGGATTGTCTGGTCCAGGCTCTATTCTGTAAGGCCCCCGTGATGTATAGCCGGACTATTGTTAAACTACAAACAAGCAGTGTTCTATGTTATTTCAATGAGTGAGTGAGTGAGTTGGGTTTAACGCTGCTTTTAACAGTATTCCAGTTATATCACAGCGTGTCAGGTTAATGTGGGAGGAAAGCCCGAAGTGACGCAGGTATCAGACGTTTACCACTTCGGTGAAACCCACGAGCACGGGTATGGTGCAGACAAACCTAGAAACACAATCGGGGCGAACCGGGATTCGAACCAAAGATCATAGGTTTCTGGCGTGTCCAAGGGACGCGACTCTGCTCAGCGAATCGCGGCGCCTTAGACGACTGGGCCATCCGTGCCCCCTATGTTTTTTCAAAAGGCGTCACGGTTGGCCTACAGTCAGGACAGCGTCCTCGCCTCCACACCCTATGTACTTGAACTGGGGAGTTCACATGCTCACATGCAGCCGACCAAGTGCTGTTTCCTGATTCTCACTCCTACAGGATGTCCTGTTGTTCATCATGAAGACATCACGATTATCATCAGTGGTAGTGGATACTCACATATAGTCCCCTAAATAAACTTATGGAACTAGTTGAATACAAATAATCTTCACCTTGAACACTCTTAATTACCTAGAGCTGATTAGGGGGTGAAAGTAGGCTGCTGGAGCTGAGAATGGGATGCTAATGGAATGGGGGTGATTGTCTTATTCAATACTTGCTCTTGGGTCTGTAAGAGTGACTGGTGGTAGGTATACTGTCATTGTATATCTTCCGGAAATGTAACGGCAGAAGTATACACACATGCTCTCGGTATTTGTTCTTGTGATTTTTAACTTATTCACTTTGACGTGATTCCGTTGACCTTTCTCAATGACATGTCACTTTTACAAAGAACTTCTTAAACACATTCTTGTGGTTCATTATTGGT